ACGATGTCCGTCACATGACGGACGTTGTCATAGAGGTCGTAGGTCAATGAGCTGAGGTCTTTTTCGCACAATTCAACAGATAAAAGTCCAAGGCAACCCTTTTGTGGTATCCGGTTAGGCCAATCTACGAATCCCTTCGACTTCTTCTTCTCAAACGAAACGAAAGATAAGCCAGCATTAAGGGATTCTTCTAAACCCAGCTTCTCTTCATGTAAAGTTATGCAAACTTTTATGGAATTGTGAAACCAATTTGTATGGTTATGGGAGAACTCAATTGTCAGTCCTTAACACACCTTAAGCAATCAAATAGGACTAAATTCTTATTTAGGAATAAGTGCTAATTTCGATACCTAACTACAAAAACAATTTTCTTATATAAACATAATTTCGAAACTTCAAGCAAATCTTATATTACTGAAACAATGGCGGTGAAATACACACGTCTACTCATATCATTGCGGGAAAAGTCAACTACCAGTCCTTCATCACCTTAGGAGAATAGGGTGAATACCTCTCACATAAATAAACACGTATTTGCTATTATAATCGACAATGTTACTTATTTTCGAAATTAGTAGGCTTCCATATCATCAGAAATTCTCGAATAGGACCTTTGAACTATTAGTAACAGTAGCTTTGTGGTGTCGTGGCAGTGTGTAGTTTTATTGCGCCCAAGATCAGGCCTCGAACCCTATTTTGGTGCTCATATGCTCCGGATGAGGTCGAACCTGGAGTCCAGACCTAATTAGGCAACCTTTCTGGAGACACGAATTGCATCATAAGATCGTGAGTTCTAATCATATTGTTGTGGGAGAATTCGCCTATCAACCTTGATTTCTCTTTTCGGCAAGAAGTTGGCATGTGTGAAGAGTAGCCTGAAAGGGAATTTAGCTATGGTGTGTTCATGCGCTTTACTTTGTCTTTTTTCGCACTGTACTATACCCATCTAAGCTGCCGAATATTATTATCTCAGAGTAGGCTCTAATGAGAACGGACAGATGACATTTCATGCCTCACAAGCTGGATTGGGTTGACTTTGTCTAGTCTTAGAACTTAACTTCTCTGAAAGTAGGCATATTTTTTCCCCAAATCAAACTATTTTTTATCCAGACATACTTTTAGAATGCCTTCCATGCATTCAGTGAACCACTGATCTGTCTAATTAAAGCATTCTTTAATGTCCCTCTGGCAGCACAGCAATTGGTTTTAGAGGCTGACCTCGATCTCTCCAGCTCTACACCACCCCCAAATGTACGGATAACAACGAGCGAGTGTAAGAGAGACTATTCCGCCCTCCACTTTGCATAACACCATTATGGTCAGACTTGCCTAGTTTTCCTGTCCATAAGGACAGTTAGCCCAAGATTTCACGAAAGCCTTGATAAGTGTAGT